ACTTTAGATGTTCTTAGCGACCTCCACGTTTTAGGTAAAAAAAATGAGATATGATGGAGTTATGTAAAATAAAAATTTTTCGAAGTAACTGTTTAATGCCATTTGAGTAGACCTTGTATTTCGAAAACGGCGATAAAGCTTAAATTTGAACAAGGAAAACGCATTTTCATGTTGTAAGTTTGACTGTCATTATTTCAGCATGAGATAGAGTAATCATAAATGAACAAAAAAGTTGTATATTACAGGGGCGTAAGATTAACAGTTTTCAAAATGCAGCGAGTATTAGTATTGGGGAGTTTCATCACAACGTGACAACAGCGCTTAACCTAACGCTACACAGCTGGTGCATACCACGTGTGCATGCGGCAGACTTGTCCTACGGAAAAAATGTAAACAACTATTATTATTGTGAAACATTTAGTAAATTTCAAGACAATTTTAATAATTATGAATCTCTTAAAACAAGAACTTAACTTTTAATCAAATTAAGAATTTGAAAAATATGTAATTAAAGTACTCAAAGATTCACGTCATCCAAATAATCATATGTATTAAAAATAATTTAGGTACTTACCAAAAAGCAAAATTCAGTAATTTTTAAACGCACAAGTACAAGACAAACTACAACATACGCTCAAAATGTCCACCACCATTTTCGATGCACGCACGATACCTTCGAATTCAATTTTCGAGCACTGGCTGGAAAACACCTCAAGAAAAGAAAATAGTGGTATGTAAAAGCACTCAGACATGGTCCAATTCCAGATACCAACTGAATTGCGTATTGCTGGCTGGACAGCTTAGTATCTCGTGTTATTCGCCGCGCCGTTGTCACATTGCTCGATATGAATTTTATCGAATTTTAAATTTAACTCAACGCTAATTACTTTTAAGAATTAAGCATAAACAAGTTCAAAAAAGTGATAATCTTTGTATTTTAGATATTATATGCAAGCAGTTATATCAATATTCCTTAATTAATCGAACTTTTGTACAAGTTGGAGATTTTGATAATTTTTTTCTCGAAAATGGTTGAGTTTAGGACCCATGTCATATACGGTTTTTTCTTCTATTTTAATGTATTCTATCGTCTGTTAGAATTAAGGCAGTCAAACTTCTAACACCCTGTATAAATTACATGATATGTAGTAACTTTTACATGTGTATGATATATAGGTACAAAGAAAATTTTTTCAAGGGCACACCTGCAATAAATTTATACAGGGTGTTTTTGAATGGAGTAGCATAAATGATACCAGTGAATCTACATTTCAAAAGAACACGATCTGCAAAAAATCGCCTTAGTAAAATGTTCACCCCTGAAGCACATTCTTCATTCCTGGGCTCCTGAAAATCCTCACGAAGTATCTATGACAACATTTCAACATAATTTTAGTTTAAACATTTGGGCAGGAATTGTAGGAAATGNGAGGTTTTGTGTATTAGTACTACTGCACTGTGGTATTCACCACATAAAATTTGAGAACAATTAGTTTATAACTCCAAGAGATATTAACAAAAAATGAAAAAATAAATTCAACTTCAACACCCTGTATTTCGGAAAGGGTTCAGATTTCGAAATAAGTTTATATAGCAAAGCCCCTTTAATTTTATCGGATCTATCTTTTCCTGATTTTTTTCAGAATAAAAATGGGACACCCTGTATATAAACGACAAACGTGCGATACCTTGAAATCAAATGTTGTACATTTGAAGCAAGAATTTTTTTTTGCGTGTATGGTCATAGATCCGATTCGTATTTGTTTAAAAGTTACAAGCATTTTAAAAAATATAATTTTATACTGCAAAGTATCCTAATAAATAAAAATTATGGTTGCTATAACAATAATTATTATTTGTGTCATTTGGTTTATTCATTTGACACTTAGCAATAAAGTGCTAAATAAAAAAATCATTTATTTACAACTGAAGACTATGCAGATATTATCTTTGTGTATGGGTATACCAATGGGAACGCCAGATAAGCAACCCGAGGATACCGACAAAGAAAATCAAATAGACTAAATAGTTATAAAGTTTTTTTCATGTTTGAATCAATCGTATAAACCACATCTTCTTATCGAGTTTAGTTGAGGAGATATTTGATATTTTCGAGGATGCTGAGAACGGAACGATGCGTTTCAACAAAGTAGAACTTAAATCCAACGGAAAATTAAAAATGCGATAACATACTCGTATGTTTGAAAAAATAAAGTTAGTTATTAGTTACCGAAAATTACTTTAAATGTGGAGAAATTGATTTGACTGTACTTTCATTTGGCAAGCGTGTATATTTTACTGATATCATCAGAATTACGGTAGAATGCGTCTTAAATGGGACACCCTGTATATTTTTGAAGCACCAGGCGGTCAGGTTATGAGGTGCGCCAGCCTAAAATAGACCTCGTTTATTTATGAATCTGGCGCTATTCACAATATGCATATTTAATTACCATCTCATCTCATCGGTTAGGATTACAGAACAGATGTAGAGAAAGCGAGACGTAACTTTAAAACCCAACATATGTATGTATTTATACAGGGTGAGTCGTAATTAG